AAGCGCGCGGACAAAGCGTTGTGGAAGGGTTCACCGACAGGTATGCAGACCAGGTGACATTTGGAGTGAGAAAGCTGTCAGCCTCAAAATGAGCAGATGTTTTATGGACTGATTCTAATAATAGTCTGGCTGTCTTCAACTGTTTGTGTTCCTCTGATTTGTTTATCTGCTAGACTGGCCTGGGTGTGTGTGTGTGTGTGTGTGTGTGTGTGTGTGTGTGTGTGTGTGTGTGTGTGTGTGTGTTTGGGGGGGGGGGGGGGGGGGGGAGTTAGGAGACAAAAAATGAAAGGATTGGAAGTGAGCAGAGGAGAAGGGCTGCAGATGGGGATCTATTCTCTGTGTGCAGGAGACAAGATGGAAATGATTCGGCGTCTGTGACGTCAATCACCGCGCACACACACACACCATCACACACACACACACACACACCATCACACACACACATTGCCAAACACAGATGCACCTCTTCTCTCTCACTCTCATGGTAATTCACACAACAGGAAAGGATTGAATCAAAGCCATAAACAGCGTCAGACACCTGAGTTTCCTCCCTGACCTGCTTCATTATGTCTGCCTCCCATCATTCACACACTATAACCATCCTCCCCCCTTTAGTCTGACTATATATAGCAGAAAGCGGAACAGGGGGGGTACTAGTTCGTCTATTTGAAATCAGCCGTTGACTGAGGTCACTAACATTTAGATAGATGTAAGTATGATAAAGTGATAGTGCACACATGTTAAGATAAAGACAAACTGTGATCTGATCATCTACCTGAAAAATCCCTTCACTACAAACTGCAAAAGAAAACAAAGACGTTCTTTGAAGGCCTTTAATGTTTACTGTAGAGAAACTAAGAAAACAGCATCATAAAGACCAAGAAACACGGTGAAAAGAAATGTTCATTACGTTGATGTGGGAAAAGTCGGGAAAAAATGTCCCAGAAGTTTAAGGTTATAAAAAGATTCCAGGTCAGGCTGATCGCACAGAGTCCTGTTCAGTCCATCAACTAAACCTGGAAGGAGACTTGAAGAGCTGAACACGCCATCAGTCCACCTTAAAGAAGAGACAGCCATGGTCTGAGAAGCAGCCAGTGGTGACTTTAAAGAAAGCCAGAGGCTGAAACATGCTGACTGGACTTTTCTACAATCATATTCTCATTTTCAAATGATCAACATCCAGAAATCAGTCCAATCAAAAAACTTTCTGCTCCATCCCATCTGACTGGGCTTCATATATTTTCATAGAGAAATTAGCAAACATGTTGCCAATAATCACTAATTATAGCAAGCAGCTGAATTTAAAACTGAGGCTCATTTTTAGGTTAATTTGCTTTGTGAGAACCAGATTTATTACCTATATCTCATCCTGAAATACTGAGCTCAGTGTGAAAGGAACAGATTCTTTTCTGTTCCTCCTGATGCTAGTTTCATGCTATTCTGCAGCCAAATGGTGAAAATGTTCGGTGCTTAATCTACTTTTTGCGTTTTACTTGCAGCTGCATCTTTGGCCATGGCACCTTAACCGGAAGCTTCTATTCTGTTGCTCCTGTCCTCCTGATTGATCAGCTGTTACATAAGTAGGACTCTCTGTCACATGGCCAACATTGTGATCTATTATGCGGCATTTAGTTTGCATAATTAACAAATTCAGGTCTCAGTGACCCAGAAGCCCCAAAATAGATCCGGCAGCACGGAGGCGAGGCCAGGAGGAGCTGATCGCTGCAAAGTGTTTTAAAAAGATGGAGGCAGAGTCGGAGCATGTTAGAAAAAAGGTGTGCGCTGCTTTGTGAAGTTTGAGTGATATATCAGATTCCTCAGGCCCCATAAAAGGCGTGGATGTACTTGGCAAGTTTGCCTTTAAGAAATCCTGCATCCATGTCAGAGATTGGTGACAACACAGGATGCTATCTAGAGAATTCCAGGCTATTTTTGAAACATCCATCATGGCCTTCCAAATGTTTGCTTTTTAAGCTTGAATTGCCTTGAAAAGCAGGAGCCCCCCCCCCCATTTCAATGCATTGGGGTGACATGTTTGTCTAATGAAGGGAAACTGAGCATCAGCAGCCGCTGCCTTGCCAATCTTTCCATTTCTGGGAGTAGAAAAAAAAAAGATATTCTTGGCTGTTTTTCATCAAGGGTTTTATCCTCATGTATCCTCAGCTGGAAGAGGACTGAGTCATAGCAGGCAAAGAAGCAGGTGGGTGGGAAGAACACTGTGGGTATGTGTGAGGAGTAGGGTGGAGGATGTGGGGAGGGGGGGGCAAGTCTTCTAGTGAATAAAAGCAAACTTATGAATGGTGGAAACCATGCGCCTCATTTAATACCCTGCAGTGAAGAGAAAATCAGCTAGATTGATCTTAAAAAGTATTCACTCTTACAAGACAGGAAGCAATTTATGAAAAATAAAACAGTCTTACTATTCAGACATAGAGCTGCTGAGCACCTGAAGGTTACCAAGAAATTCATTTTCAGGAATAGAATCATGGGAGCAGAGAAGATGAATTTGCCTGCAGATATAATTATCTACGCTCACACTTCAAACACAGTAACATGTTTAATCTCTTGGCCAATTAGGACGTGATGTGACACTGAAGGGGAGCCGCATACAGAGGCCACCTCTGGAAGTGTGGCAGGCACCTCTGCTCTGTACGGGGCTGTGGGAGCGAGGAAGGGAGCTACAGGGACATTTGTGTCCGTCTGAGTTTGAAAATGTTTGCTGAGCGTGGATGGGTGGATGCGTGGATGGGTGGACGGGTGGATGGGTGGATGCGTGGATGGGTGGATGCGTGGATGGGTGGATGGGTGGCGAGGCCATTAGAGAAATGGAACTGTGTGTTTTCCTGCTTTGACATCACGGCTGCCGTCACTGCAGCCACCTCTTAGTGACTCCCCTGTGACTGAAGACCTGACAGCCTCCCACGCTCTCCCCCGGGCTTTATCTGTCACCCCGCCCCTGCTGTGCTCTTCCCACCTCCCTCTACATTTCTCATCCACTCATCCATCTTCATGCCCCCCCCCCCAGCTGCTTGTTTTTACCTTACTCCTCCTTATTCAATGTGTGGGTCTTCCCTGTCTTCTGTCACGCTCTCTGCGCCCACAGTGCTGCCTGTCTGCGTCTCTATGGAAACCTCTAGTGGACAGGAGTGCCTCAGAGGTCTCTGAGACAACGATGCAGACGCTGCTGGATCACAGACTCTCTTTCTCTGCAGAAATTAGTGCAAGCAGAAAATAGACTAAAACACTAAATCGTTTGGAACATTGGTGAAGCTTCATTAAAGGCCTTGAAATCTATTAGTCTTATAGTTTTATATGCACAATAAAAGATTGATAAATGTAGAAATATCCAACCTTTCATTCAACTAGCCTTTATTTAGTAAGCAGTGATTGTTGGCGTCTCTAAGAAACCTATTAGAGTCAATTTAATCAAAGTATTTGATTATTAATTTGCTATTTCTTTTCATTAATTTGAATTCTATTGTAATCCAAATTTGCTTCCGAGCTCCATTTGTTCTTAGCTATTCTTCAAACAAACAGATGAGTTCTGCTGAAGTGAAGCAGGTAGCTGTTTTGTTTTTTTATAAGTGAGGAAACCAGCCTACCTGATTTCATCTATATGGAGAGCAATTTAACGGAAGGCTCAAACATCTAGAAATGGTTGGAGAAAGGCCCACAGAGAGTTAGTTAAACTGTTAAAAGATTAATTTGTGGGAAAGTAGCGCATGTTAAGTACTGTTTAGTACGGTGATTTATGTGTGGTGCTGTGGGCTTCCATTGGCATCTCACATGAAATCCTGACATTCAAGGATATTTAAATCAAACATCTAGAGGACAAAATGAAACTAATTTCTTTAAAGTTGGTAGACCTGGGTCTTTCAACAGAAGATATTCATTTTCTAGTCAAATCAACATAACTTTAACTTTATTAAATTTATCTCACCTACATAACACATAATTGGAAGAAGGGTATCAATGATTTAGTTAAATCTTTTAAACATTAGCATCCCTTATACATCCATCCGTCATGCTTTATCCCTGCTGGGGTGGCGAGGGGTGCTGATGCCTATCTTCAGCTGTCTACGGGTGAGAGGCGGGGTCCACCCTGGACAGGTCTCCGGTCCATCAGAGACAAACAGGACAAACAACCATTCACACTCACACCTTTAACGAAGCCAATTGACCTAACAGTCATGTTTTTGGACTGTGGTAGGAAGCTGGAGTACCTGGAGAGAATCCATGCATGCTCAGGGAGAACATGCAGAAAGAGCCGGAATCAAACCCACTGTTCCACTGGGCAGCCCTGCTTTCCTTATTGTTCAACAAATTTAGGATGAAATGTTGGATTTTTACTGATTTATCAAGCCTGAAATTTTCAGATTATATATGATTATGTAAAAGGGAGACTATGCAATACCCCCAATCCTGGAGAAGCTTTCTGATTGGTGTCAAACAGCAGGAACATATAAGTCTGATAGCAGAAACAGAGGGTAGCATTATTACCTGATTATACTCAGACTCTTCTGGATGATAGGAGCAGTCTGAAGCCACCTGATGCTGCCTCTGCATGTAGAGCTGCATCTGAAGCATCAGCCTCCTCTGTCTCCCTTCTGCATAATACCTCACAATCCACATTCCCCCCACATTTACAAATTGTTCAGCCTGCTGTGTTGCGTAGCCTGTGCGTCATCTGGCTCCCAACACATCTGAAGGACAGGTAATTTGTGATAAGAGGCCTCAAACACAGAGTTTCACAGCTTTGGGCTGCTCTCCTGGGCACCAGAGTGATTTGACGGTCATGCCTAAGTGGATCATTGCAGAGCGTAATCATGGGGAATATGCGTAAGTTTTGCAGCGTGTCATTTCAGGGAATGGAGCTGCAAGATGGGTTTGAGTGCAAGTCATGCAAAAAGACAAAACAACACCTTTCTTGTCTTTACGGAAAAAGTCTCTCACACTTTAAGGTTTACTGTTTTTTTTCTTTATTTTATCAAAATGTACACAAATAAAATACAACAAAGGAATACATTAAAGAAGACATCAAAAAGGGCAGCAGTAACAGGGGTGAAACAACTGAACATAGAGCCAGCCCAGTCCTGGAACGACCCCTTTAACTCCCACAGTGCAGTAAGATAAAGACATGCAGCCATGTCTCACATTTAGGCACTTGATTTCCAAACCAAACCATCTTTGGTCATAGCTGCTGCCGTGCAGGTTTCTAAACTCAGTCAGTGTCACATATGCTGCAATGGAACAGCACTCACCCCGCGTGAGCGTAGCTTCTTCCTCCACTGCCTTGCTTTGAGATGATCCAAAGATGGTTAGAACCTGGCAACCTCCATTGAGTAAACATTAACAATATTAAAATCAACACAAGATGGTACGATAACTCACATATTACAGAAAAGGAAACTCCACAAGGGTAAAGGAAACGATCACTACATTATAACACAGATTACCTGAAAACAATACGTTGCATTTGCACGAGAAATACTGTAACCGATATGCTGTACAGTCTACACCAAAGGCATTATTGTTGGCAATTCTTTTTGGGGGAACTAACCAGTATTTTTAATCTTGGAAAGTCTTGCAAAAATAGATCAATTTCTAATAAATGAAAAGTATTTGATTGTGATCTATTAAGCTACTCATGCATTGCTCAACAATCTTTCCAGTGCTTCATCCTGGCTTTGCTCTGGTGAAAACACACTTGTAGGTTCATCCCTCACTAGATCTATTTTTTAATGAGACATCCCTTCTGTAAAGGACAGACAAAGTTAGATCAAACTGTCTGAGAAGCATAGTAGTCACACAGTATTTGGCAGTGAGAAACAGTCCTAATGTATCCATGCACGATATCAACCACAGGCAAGGTCCACGTTCTGAACAAGAACAACACGGTAAGAACAGGAACAACAACTTAACAACCTGGAAGTGTGTGTGTGTGTGTGTGTGTACCTGTCTAGCCCTCAGAGTGAGGACCAGTTGTTGAAAAGTAAGGACATGTTGCTGGTCCTCACAAGCTATTTTGCTAATGGTTAGGTTTAGGGCTAATGTGTCAATTGGTTATGCTTAGGGTGAGGTACAGAGTTAGGGTTAGGGATATGATTAGGGTGAGGTATAGGTATGGGTAGGAATTGAAAACTGTGTTCTGTGTGTTCCAATTCCATGGCACCGTTTGGCAGCTTGCTTAACGATTCTTTAACAGTTCCAGGCAGCATCAGAGCCTAGCCTTTTCTACGCAAGTTACGTCTTATGCACACTTTGGAAACCAAGCCCAGTGGATTTTTTGAACTTTTAGGGAATGACTATGACCTGGATGACTGAGAATCTTCATCAGTTTATGCACACAGCATTCATTAAACAAGTATGACGTGACCAGGTGTAAGTGCAGAAAAGCAAAACAAAAAAAATGGCGTCCCATTTGGTAAACCGATCGAAAGTTTGGATGTAAAGTGGCAATAACATCGACTGGAGGAAATATATCCAAAATGCAGAAACACCTGCGCACACAACATGGCATACATTTTAATGAATGCCGTGTTTTTGATCCTTCCGGACAGAAGCTAAAGTTATGACCAGCAAAGAAGGCAACTCTGGTGGGACGTAACTAGTTTTATATCACTGGCTGTGCTTAATGTGATTCCTAGTAAATCAGATGTCATTTCTGGAAAATAAAACTTTTCCTACCTCTCTTTGGGTTATTAAACATGCTACCAAGTTGCTCCGCAGTACAGGGAGCGAGCAAAAGGTGATGCTCGGTTATTTAAATCAGGGGGAGATTAATTTCCAGGAATTGTACAGTAATGCTTTTTCATTAAACAGATGCCTTCTCCATTAGATTTAGATGACTGTGACTAGACGGGTAGCCTGGCTGGATCAGAGGCTGCAGCTCCCATTCACTGCCTTCTGTTTTTGCAGAGACAGGCAGAAATTTCCCAGGCTAAGGTAGATGAATGTCACCGTGGACTTACCAAGTTAGTTGTTTCACAGAATCGATAAGTGAATTGATAAGGAATCGATAAGGGAATCGGAATCCTGAAAATCGTATCAATTCCCAACACTAGGTATAGGGCTAGGGATATGGTTAGGGTGAGGCATGCATTGATAATGGTTAGGTTTACGGCTCAGGTGACAATTGATAATGGGTTAAGGATAGATTTAAAGTTAGTGCATATAAAGGGTTAAAAATGACTGAAAATCATAGGAAGTCAACGGGAGTCAACATATGGTCCTCACTGTATATAGCAGAAAGAGTAGGGGTGTGTCTGTGTGTGTGTGTGTGTGTGTGCGTGCATGTCAACAGCACAGTTGGTTTCCCAGGGAGACCAGAGACCTATGACTCATGCAGTGCATACAGCATTTTCTGGAATTTGAACAAAATCGGAAGAATTATTATTTTCCCTCAAAGCCCAGATATAATTCCATGTAATCATGTTAGAACCTTCAAGAGTTCTGGAGAAGTTTCCTGTAAAACCCTCTCAGTTCCACCCACACTGGTCTATTATAGACCAAACTGCTCATCTATTCTCCAGCTCTTGGTAACCACTCTCTCACTCTGTGTCTCAGACTAGTCCAGTCTGTGGGTGGAGGTGTAAAGGGTAAGGTTGGTAGAGCAGAGCTGACCCTCCTTGTGGTATGTAGTAGCTGCAGTAGCTTGGTTCTGCCAGGTAAGGGGATGTGTGCTCAGCAAGGTACGGTGCTGGCTGGTAGAAACAGGTCACATGGTCTGTGTTTGGTATGATGTTCTGTTCACCCAGAACCTTCAGAGCCAGAACTGTGATCATGTTGAGAGTCTGGCGCCGTTCGTGCCCCATCAGGCAAACCGTGCTGTCATCTATGACCCGACGAAGGGTCATCAGGTACTGGTACTTACTCCTCTCTTCGCCGATGAAGTGGTTCTTCAAGTAGGACAGGATTTTCCTCTGCTGCTCCTGCACATCAGGGAAATCGATGAAAAAGCGCGAGCACATGTAGCGCTCCAGGGTTTTTATCTGAGTCTCGCTGGCCGGTCGGTAGTCTCTGACCAGCAGGTTGCTGTACTTCAACAAGCCACCACCTCTGATCTCTTCAGGGTTTCTGGTGGCAATCAGCCGGTAGCGCAGGTGGTCCATTGCTGCCTCAAAGTCCCCATACATGCTCTCTGCCAAGACCTCGACTGCAGGCACACAGCTTGATGCTGGAGGGGCACTGTCTGGGGCCACCTTAGGAGTGTCTTTATTTTCAGGCACAGTGATGGCTGCCTCAGAGGCTTGTGGAGGGGTTTGTACCGCTGAATCCTCGGGCTGAGGGTGAGGATCAACTGGTGAGGTGGAACTTGGAATTGTGATTGGAAAAGAGACTGGCTCAACAACTTGAGGCAAAGAGGATATATAACAATGTTCCTCTTTCTCCTCCAACCGTGAAGGAGAAACTCCTGACTGAGGACTAGAAGGTTCATCGTCCTCATTCTTGTTTGTGTTTAATAGCAAACACTTTGTATCTGAAGATCTCTGAGGTAAAAGGTCCCCAGACTCCGCCGGTGGGGTGAAGCAGAGCAGCGGAGGGCTGAGGCAGGGGGACGGGGGGCTTGGACACAGTGGGGGAGGGCTGAGGCTGAGCATAGGGGGAGTGAGGTACGGAGGCGAACTGAGGCAAGAAGAGGTTGGGCTGAAACTTTGAGGTGGAGAGCTGAAGCTCATAGGACTCATGGTGCTTAACATTGGAGATGGGGGAGTAAAACATGGGGGTGGACTTGGGCTTGGGGGGGAGGGTGTGAAGTGAGGAGGAGACAAGCTGAGTATGGGGGGGGAAGACAGAGGTACATTTAGAATAGTTTCTTGTGAAGTGATGTTCGGCAGATTCGAGCTCATCTCCCTGGTTGGTTCTCCACTCTCAGCTGGAGACTCTTCAGCTGTTTTGTCAGGGTCAGAGGTCACGGAGCCTGTTTTGTCAGGGTCAGAGGTCACGGAGCCCACTAAATCCACTGCACCAAGAGGTTTGGATTGTTTGGGTTCAAAAAGCTTTTCTTTCAGGCAGGACTGACTTTTGCCACCTGACACTGCAGGAGTGTTGGACGTCTCTTTCAGGCTCACTTCACTGAAGTCATGTTTGTCCATCTTAGAGGAAGAAACCTGCTGAGGTAAAAAAGACGTGGGATCTGGAGGTAATGTTAAGATTATGTCAGGCTCTGGATCCAGAGCTGAAGTAAGGTCAGGGTTTGAAGATGGGCAACTTGAAAGATCAAGCTCAGGTCCAGAGTTTGTTTGGAGAGAAGTGCTTGTTGATGGAATGGTTGCAGAAATCTCCAGCTTCACATCAAACCCTTTATTGGATTCACTGGCAGGGAAATGGTTGAAATCTATACAAGCTGCAGCAGCAAGCTCACTTTCAGACATTCGGATCGGGTATGCATTAGATATAACCTTTCTACACATCCGCCGAGGGGGTTTGGGGGATGAGTGTTTGAGCACCACCATGTGAGACAGTCTCTCTGAGACCTTAGCAGTGGGAGGAGAGGAGGTCTTTCTGTCAGAGGCAAGGCCAGATGGTGGAGGTAAAAGATCCTGAGTATCTGAAGGGCTAGATGTTTTCTCTGAGTTACCTGTGGATTGTGTGCTGGGAATGTCTGCTGTATCCTGTGTGGCAGTGGGCTGGGTGCTGCCAAGTGGAAGAGTGGAGCCAGAACAATCGATACTCAGTGTGTCTTCTAAATCTTTCTCCTCTGATGCTGAAAAATCTTGAGCACTTTCATCCATTTTTCTATTACTGTCCGTCTCTGCTTCAATCTGATCCCCGTTCTCTGTTCCTTCAAAGCACAGCTCGATCTTCGCACATGAAGATGTGCATGCGTCTGAGGCAGACACGTGTTGAGTATTATCTGCCTCATTGCTTCTCTGATCCTCTATCAAATGCTTAGATGAGTCTGTTTTATCAGATGGCTCTGTGCTTTCAGGCTCCTCTGCAAGGTTTAGACACTCTGTTGAAGTTATTTTAGAAGCATTCAGCGTATCAGAAGGGTCCATCTGCCCTTCGTCAGGCAGCTTCATGCACTTAGCAGGTTCCTTCTGAACAAAGAGCTCTCTGAAATCTGAACCTGCTGGTTGGTGGCTGTCACCAAACTTCACTTCCTCCAACTCATCTACCACTAGTGATTGCGGAACCTCATCAAGGAGCACAGAGTTGCATTTAGCTTCTGTTTGAGCCAATGTCTCCGATTCTGTATCTTCACTCTTCAGAGACGGTTGGTTTTCATTGTTAAGGTTTTCTCTGTGTTTAGACAAATCCAGCTCTCCAGATGTTTTCCCTTTGTTGCTTTGAGTTTCTTCCAAAAGTTCAGCTTGTTGCCTTAATTCTGCCTGAAAATCATTTTCATCCTTCTCCGGTGTCCTAAATGTCTGCCCCCCTGCTTGATTGTATAAGTGGACAGCGTGCTTCTCTGCATCTGGAGCCGGGGTCTGATTGGGCTCAGGCAAATTATTCTCAGATTCTGCAGAATGCTCCTTTAGGTTTTCAGCATTGGAGTTTTGCATGGAGTCCTGCTGCATGTAGGACTCTAGGAGGCGATCCAGAATGATCTGGAAGGAGTCCACACTGAACTCAAACTGCCGCCTTAGAGCACTCACGAATTTGAGCTCAAGGTTTTTGCCACTGTTGTTGGATAGTGAGATTAGACTCCAGCGGTCGTGTTCGTTGAAAACTTTGACCATTTTCTGAACATATGCCTCCTTCATTGTGGCGCTGCTGATTCGTTCTCTGTTGACCCCGGCGGGCAGGCAGTCCAACAAGCAGCCCAGGACCGACTCTTTGATCACCTGGGGGAACAAGAAGACAACAAAAATAGAATAGAATAGAAATAATCTCTACTGTTCTTCAGTGACAGATGCAACTGCTGACAGTCACCAGATTTAGCTAAAACCTAAAGTTGCTATTTTGTAAAATAACAAGTGCCTCTTTATTTTTGATTTAATGAACATAGAAATGATTGCAACCTGGGACATCAGTATCCTGTGGTCAGGAAATTGATTAAAATCCCACAAACTGTGGAGATTTTTTATGATTAAACTATGAAAGGATTCTAAGAAGAAGCAAATCCTTTATTGTTTTCATGATCTCTCATTGTTGTCATATTGATGATAACAGTAGCATTGTGTTTATAAGTGGCTTTGGATAAGAGCCTCTGCTAAATGCAAACACACCTGGAACTCCTCCTGGCTTGGCAATTCCACTCCGAAGATGATGTCCAGGTCTTTGTAGCTCGTCCCATTGTCCCGAACCAGGACGTGGCTGGCTGTAGAGCCATTTAGACGAACATCCCTGACCGTGATTCCCTGCTTTTGCAGCCTGGCCCGCACTGCTATGATAATATCACGAGGACGCAGCTCCAGTGTGGGAAAGTTCCCACGGCCGTGGATGGGGACCACTTCTGAAAGCACCTGATGCAGAACCTCCACCTGCTCAGTGTTCAGGCTGTGAAAGCGCTGGCTGGATTTCTTTTCAGACATACTGTTTGCCCTGTGGGGAAGAGAGGGAGGTTGGAACTCAGACATTATTCCACTCTGCTGCATGTTTAAGTCTAACCCATTCTGTCACACACACACGCTATCATGCACGTTCCCTGCCAGTCTGCAAGTCACAGCTTGGCTGACAGCTTTCTGCAATGCTAATGTTACTGCTGTGCTGCTAAACTAACACATGGAGCCAACCATAGAAACATGCCTCCAATAAATATCCCTCCACTGCCCAACAACAACAAACTGAAGGGAGGTTTTCGAAGCCAGAAACACGTTACAATGTTTATTAAAAAAAAACTTATGCTATCTTCATTCAGCATTTTTTCTTTTCTCTAATTAAAATGTATTAAATATGAAAGAGTTGTTTTAACAAAGTAGTTTGTTGTTTCGGTGGATGTGTTTCCCATCAGGGGAGCAAGGGTTAATGGAATGAGTCATCGCCAACAGGCCGCATTAATCACACCGACGTCACTAATTAAAGACACACATCTGTTTTTGTGTGTGCAGCACATGATATGTATACATTAAAAACCGCGACTCACATCCACAGAAGCACCTCTAAAAGTTAGAGAACAATTTTTCTCACAGCTGGTTGCTTTAGGTTTAGCTGATTTGCTTTATTTCTGCACATCCCATAGCTGCTAATTCCTCATTTAATCTCTACAAACTAGATCCAGCTTTGGTTGAGTCTAACTGAGTCTGTCCAGGCGGTATGTGTAATGTGATTAAACGTACAATTGTCTGTGCCTGTCAAAGTGTTTCTGTGGAGTGAGAGCTCATATCTGAATGAGTAACCGTGGTTCATACCAGCCCATTATGATCTTTTGTGTGCTTTGATCAATAGCTGTCACTCTGTGCTACAGCTGAGTGCTGCTGATTGCTATGATTTGTCAATACAGGCAGGCTAACGACCAGGATACTAATGAGCAGTAATGGGAGGCTTTCTGGGATCACTTTGACTGACAGAAAGCTACAGTCTGCAACAACCACAGATCATTACTATGAATTTTAGATCAAATCTAACCCGTGTTTAATGCATCAGCAAACATCGGATCATCACTTTAGAATAAAACATCAAAGGGTTTCCCTACCTGTTCATTTCAGAACTGAGTATAAAAACCAGCAAGAAGTTATCTGATCCCAGACAAGCGCATTCAGATTAGATGGAGGAAGAATAAACAGGGCTCCCAGTGCTGACACTGACCACATACACAATAAAACCACAGCACTAGCCTGGCTGGACTATAGCTTGCCCCAGTATCTCTCCTCCCTCCCAAACCCTTCCCATATTCGCACTCTTCAGCAAACTTCCAGGCTGTGACTCATCCAGGCGTATCAGCTCAGCGCGCATATAATCTGCTGCCACTGAAACACAACAGGCTGCTGCTGCTGCATGTGGAACAGATACTAATACTGTTGGACTACAAACTGCTCACTTTTCAAAAGAGAAGCCCATAAATCAACAAATCGATTTATTCATTTTATGTCTTTTTATATCTTTTAACTTTTGAAAACGTGAACAACACAAACACCTGGGTTAAATGTTCATTTGAAAAATTAAAGAAAACTGTTTTTCAGTTTTTTGTTTCCTAACTGTCTGCATGGTGTTCAGGTTTGGGTCATTGGACACATAATTAAATATAAACGGGAAACAGCGCGTAAGTCTTTTTAGCCTCTAATCATCTCTCCTTTCACCTGTTTACACCTGGAAACGATTAAGCGTAATCAGCAAAGGTTGGCAGATAAAAACTAATTTAAACTTCCCAGCGCTGTGTGTGTGTGTGTGTGTGGGGGGGGTTACCTGTTGCTGTGTTTTCTGTGGGAGCGACTCGCTCCTGGCTCCGCGTGGAAGAAACCTCAGCAGTCCACCGAGAAGTTGCAGCGTGTCTGTTTTCTAATGGCGTGTCCCTCCGCTGCGGCTGGACCGGATCTGTCCCTCTTAGGGACGCGGTGCTGGACCGGATCTGTCCCTCTTAGGGACGCGGTGCTGGACCGGATCTGTCCCTCTTCAGGCACACGAAGCTCGGATCTGCGTGCCAGTTCATCCGGGCGCTGTCCAGGAGTCGCGTGGTGCTGAAATGAGGAGTGAAACGACTCCTCGCGCTCTTGTTTTCTCTCCCTCGGCCGACCGGAGCGTAACGCAGTTTCCATAGCGACCTGCCGTCACTCAGTTATGACTGCGGAGTGTGTGTGGTAGAGGTGTGTGCGCAACAACAAAGAGCAGTAACCTTTTGCTTGGAATGGTTTTATTTATCTGAGTTACTGATTCTGCTCTTTATTCAATAATTACAGTGATTTCAGGAAATAGTTTCTCTGCTTCTTAAATTGAGCGTGAGAGTCGTGATGCCTTCATAGTGATCAGGATTGTTGACTGTTGGTAAGATAATCCTGATGATGTGTTTGATTTATTCTAAAAAGTCCCGTTATATATAAAACTAATATTACTAAATTCCACGGAGGATTAAATCATAATCTGGGAAACTTAACAGAGAAGCTCACACATATAATCTGACGTGTCTAGTTTTATAACAATTAATACATCATGAAACGAGTAATAATGTTAAATATTGAAATATCAGCATTTAAATGCAAAACAACACAAAAAGTGTGATTATTTGCTGTTGTTTAAAAAATGAAAAACACTGATGTGACATAATTCTCAGCTTCAAATAATTCAACAGCCAATTTTTGAGATTATTCTGTTATGTTGCTGCCGTGAACTGAACACCACTAACCTGTCACGATGCTGAGGTGATAAGTTCAGGTTTTCATTGTTCCATTTTTATCTTACAGCTTTCTTCAATATTTTGCTGTTATTTTTGCCACATTCTTTTCTCTGTGTTCATATATTCTTTAGGTTGTTTTTTCAATGTTGCATTTTCATTTTTATTTTGTTGTTGTGTACTATGTACATTGATACACCGTGCTGGGGTGACAGTGGAGCTGGTGTCCAGCTGGAGATAGACATTCACACCTAAAGAGAATTTAGAGAAGCCAACTAACCTAACAGTCATGTTTTAGGACTGTTGGAGGAAGCCAGAGTACCCGGAAAAAACCCACGCATGCACAGGGAGATCATGCACACTCCATGCCCGGGCCAGGGATCGACCCAGAACCTTCTTGCTGCAAGGCAGCAGTGCTACCCACTGCCCCACTGGGCGATCTACTTTGATGTAATTTGTCTTTTATTATTAGCTCACCTCTTTTAGAACATTTTCAGATATTTCCCCTGATGTTCCTGAATGTGTCTACTCTTCTCTACTTTATTAGCTTTCCTCCTTCAGCTGCTCTGCCCTCTCTTTTTTTTCCACAGGTGCTCATTTTTGATCAGCATCTCTGATTTGAGGATGATTGATCAGATGTCAAGAATTGCTCCCATTTTTGAAGCAGTTCAACTGAAGACAACTGTGTTTCATCCACAGCTTTATATCCCTCAGACCGATGGTGATTGTTGATGATGATGCTGTAGTGAAGCTGCTGTGGAGTGTCAGCCAGCTTTAACGTGTGTCATCAACATAAAAATGAAATGAGAACCCGTGGTGGCTGGTGGCTTGGGAAGGGGAAGGGTGTAGAAGATGAAGAGGATGGGGCCAAGGGCTGAGCCCTGAGGGACTCTGCTAGTGACTGTGTGAACCTTGTGCTTCCAGAGGAAACGCATGTTCTGTGTGCGTGATTTAAAGCCTCCACTCCTGCCATAAATGGAACGTGCATTGCACTTTGGCAAATATATGCTCTCACCAGAGAGATTTAGATTAGATTAGGGATCCAAATCTCTCAAATGTCACGGCAGCCATCTTGCCCAAACATTGTTTAGAACCAGAATAAATTCTGACAAAATTATTTAATTAATTCAAAACTGTTTGTTATAATTACAAAACACAAGAGCTGAGGAATGGGAATATATTTGTGTAAAATAGAGGCTTAAATAGATGTGCCAGCATCTCTATTGCTAAATATTTTGTTTCAGTCAATTAATTTTCTAATTTTGCACCATCAGCTTTAAAGTTTGCTTATTTTCTATGGCAGGTTGGAGAATCTCTGGTCACTTCCTTTAAGTATCTACCTACAAAAATCTAATAATTTCTAAACCAAGTCAGTAGAAGCTAAATATGGTTAAATTCTTTAACAATGATCAAATGTAGTATTGGGAAACACTTTTTAAATTATAAAATGCTAACTAAGTGACATGATTTGCTGAACATCATCGCTGAATATCTGCTCTAGTTTTTAAGATTGACTTCCTGTAAGATGGTGTCTTTTATATTTATGAAGTAAATTTCCTGGTGTGAGACTGAAATAAAGAATATACGCCTGTAGTGAATGTGACTAAAACCACAGCCAGGGGTAATTCCTGCCCTGATACATCCCTGTATAAACTTTTTTATTCATAAAGTTTACAATTAAAGCTTTTTATTTTTATTTTTACAATGTTGTTCCAAAACTTATTTGTGGTTGAAAGAATTTCTCTATA